GGGGTGGAACACTCTGTCAACATCTATTAAGTCCATTTGTTCAATAGCTTGATTCAGTTCTAGAATTTTGTTGTTTATTTTTTGTCTAGATGATCTGTTTATTTGTGATAGTTGGATATTGAGGTCCCCCACTACAATTATATTAATGCTCATTGGGTTTTTCATGTCCATTAATTTTTGTTTTGTATAGTTGGAGGCATTCGTATTTGATGCATATATAGTTATGATTGTCATATTTTCTCTTGGATTGTTCTCTTCACAGGGATGTAGTGACCATCTTTGTCTCTCTTAATTAGTTTTGGCTTGAAATCTACTTTTTCTGCAAATAAGATTGCTACCCCTGCTTTTTTCTGGGTTCCTGTTGCATGGAGAACTGTTTTCCATCCTTTTACTTTCAGTCTGAATTTGCTTTTGAGTTAGGTGTGTTTCTTCAGTACAGCATATTGCTGGATTTTGCTTCTTAATACATTCTGCCAGTCTATTTCTTTTGATTGGTGAATGGAGGCCATTAACATTGATGGTTATAATTAATAGATATTGACTCATCCTTGTCATGATATTTTAGTGTTGTTGGCTCTTTTATTTCTTACTTTTCCCCCTTCACTTTAGTTTCTTGCCTTGCCTGGTGTCTTCCTTATGTTGGGCTTCATGGAGTTGTGACCTTCATTGTCTTTTTCTAGGATATTGTTTAGAATTGTCTTGAGTGCTGGTTTAGTGTTCATGAAATTTCTCAGGTGTTCTTTGTCATGGAAGCATCTACTTTCCCCATCAATTTCAAAAGATAATTTTGCAGGATACAGCAGTCTAGGTTGGAAATTATTTTCTTTTAGGACTTGAAATACTTCACTCCAGGCTCTCCTTGACTTGAGGGTTTGTGTTGAGAAGTCTGCTGTGATTCTGATGGGCTTCCCTTTGTAGGTGTTTTGTTTCTTTTCTCTAACTGCTTGTAGGATTTTGTTCCTCTGTTGGGTTTCTAGAATCTTGACCTTGTCTAGGTGTAGTTTTTTTTTTTTATCATGGCTAGTTGGAGTTCTATATGCTCACTTAACTGTATGTCCAATTCTCTACCTTTGTCTGGGAATTTTTCTACTATTACTTCTGTGAACAGTTTTTTTATGTCAATTGTACTTTCTCCTGCTTTTTTGTGGGCTCCTATCAGTCTTATGTTATTCTTCTTTGCAACATCTAGCAGCTCCTGGATTGATTTCTTGTGGCCCCTTACTATTTTTAAGAAATCTCTGTTTTCATGGTCACTGACTGCTGTCCTGTCTTCTATATCTGATACTCTATCTTCAGACTGCCTCAGTCTGCTGTGTATACTTTCAATGAAGTTTTTAATCTCCTGGATATCTGTTTGAATCTCTTTCATGGATTTTATTTCTTTCCTATATTGAGTGTTCATGATTTTCATTTCTTTCCTGTGCTTGACATTTGTGGCTTCCATTATGGTCCTGAACTCATCTATTTTTTTAACTGTTTCTGTTCTAGAGCCACTTATGTCTTTCACTCTGCTCACCATCTTTGTAATTATCTGGGAAATTATTTCCATTTTGAATTTTTCTAGAGCCTCATTCATCTGTTTTGTTACTTCCTTTGCTCAGTTCACGGTGTCTAGGTGGTTGATTATGAGACTTTTCCACCTCATTTCCCCCAGCATTTGCCTTTGGTACAGTGGAAGTCTGAGTTTGTGCCTTGCTCAAATGTCTTCTCATTTTTGTTTTTGGTACTGCCCTTGGTTTAATTCCTGAGTTGATACTTCAAAATTGCTTATTGTAAGTATCTTTGTTGCTTGCACTTAGAACCCTCATAGAATGGTTTCTTCTCAGAGGTGTCTTACAGATATAGCTGGTCTTTAGATTTTGAGTCTCTAATGACTCTGAGCCTAGCTCATTTTCATTATACCAGGAAGGACATCTGATTAGATTAATCACAATACTTTAGCCCAAGTGATACAATCAGCAACACCATAGCATCAAGTACAGCTTAGAAAATGACAATTTGTGGTAGTTATTAATCTATCACCTTTAACTCTGTGAATTAAATCAAAATCGTGGACCAGCCCAACATATGTTTATAGTGAATAAACTCTTCAGTATAGCAAATTTACTCTTTAGGATGGGGAGTTAGGAGTTGGGGATGAGGGATAGATAGGAAGAAGGATAGGAGAAGGTTAGCAGTGTGGGCAGAGGACACAGGAAGATCATGCAAACTCTAAGGAAGTGTCAAAGACAAGAGGAAAAGACAGAATGAAAGAACAAAGATGATAACAGAACAACCTAACGGCAATAGGGAACCTAGAAACTGTACCTACTTTCCTTTAAAATAATGACACTCAAGGGAAGGAAAAAGAGAAGAAAAGAAAAATAAAGAAGAAATCCAAATTAGGGCCAGAACAGGAACAAAAAGGGAGATGAAGAACAATGTGGGACAGTGAGAGAATGAGTGAGAGAAAGAAAAGAGAAAAGAAGCAAAAAGAGTAAAAAATTTGAAAAGAGTAGAAAAAAATAAACATTTAAATTTAAAAATAAGCAAAAAAATTTTTTGAAAATAACAAAAAATAAAAGTGAAGGGCCTCCTTTAGGGTATGTCTGTGTTGTCACAATAGACAATGTGGGCAACAGTGTGCAGATATGTCATTGAGTCTCAGCAAGGCAGTAGCAGACCCGTGAGATTCAGGCAGATTTCTGGCTGGAAGTCTCAAGTTGAGCTCCTTGTGTTCATGCAGGGTTGAAGTCTGCAAGGTTCTACTGCAGGTTCCAGCTTCCCTTCCCCTGAAGATAGTCCAGGTTCCAATGGGAGGTGATGATCCCTCCAACTCACCAAGCACGGTGATCTGGTGTGCCTTTATTGCAGAGATTCTCTTCACTTTTCCAGTGGGCTTCAGTTTTCATCAAGGAGCCTGAGAGAGGCCCTCTTTCTGTTGCTCAGTTCTGCTCTATCTTGTGGAGCTCATGACAATGGTCTTTATGGTTCCCTGTGCCTCTGTAATGTGGAACCAGGTAGCAGCACAACCAGGAGGCCAGAGGCATGTGGGAGGGGGTGCTACAGGGACCCCTGTGATTAAGCTGGTCACTGGGGGGCATGCAATGGGGAAGGAGCTGGGCTCCACACAGCTGAGGTCCTCACCATCTGCTGGCCAAGGATAGACTCTTTTTTGAGAGTTGCACAGCTTCCTGTGACATCGTTCCCAGGATCAGGAAAGCTCTGAGAAAGATCATTCTGGCCATGAGCTTCCAAAGTTTGTCTCTGGTTTCATTTTAATAAGTAAAAAAGAAATCATGCTAACTCACTGCTCAAAACTGGCCCAGGAATCAGGTAACACAACTGGGTAGTGTGGAATGATTTTTTTTGACAAGGAGAACAAAACAAAACAAAAAATACAAAGAGAAAATAAAGAAGAAAAATAAATGCTTTTGACCTTTAAAGTCGGGAAATACTGATGACAACAATGAATGTTTATCTAAAATAACAAAAAGGAAATAAAGAAGAAAAGAGAAATCAAATAAAATTAAATTTCTAGCAAATACTTTTTCAGAAAAAAATACTATCATTAGAATAGCTTCAATAATATCACCAATAGTCAGAAAGAAAATAGATTAGTGCAGTATGATTAGGGAGGGTAGTAATCAGGGTAGAAGTTAGTGGATTTCATCTGCCCAACTCTGGCAAATTTTGAAAGTTGATAGAAAAAGATTTAAGAAATGACCTTGAACCCATAGAACTGTGAAATCTCTCTCTAAAGTTTATAAACGTGGAAGCTCCTAATTTTAGAGCAACTATAAAATATTTCTACTTGGGTGGGAGAACAGTGGCTCTGCATATCTACAAAACAAGCTCTCATATTTTTATCAAACATTCTCATGGAATGTGAAAGTTTTAAAAAATGGCTGCAAATTCTTTGACATTCCTCCCATCAAGAGTGGGATCTGCCTCTTTCCCTTGAAACTGGGTAGAGTTTTGACAGCTTTGGCATGAATATCACAAAGTGATGTTGGAAGCTAGGTTGTAAAAGACCATGCAGTTCCCACCTGGTTCCTTTGGAATGCTTGCCTCCCCTCAGGGCATTCCCTTTCAGAACCCAGCTGCCATGCTGAGAGGCACCCAAGCCACACGAACTAAACCATGTGTGGTCACTCTGATCAACCATCGCAGCTGAATCCAGCCTGCAAGTCATAGTCATCTGAAACCAGAAAGACATACAGTGAACTAGATTTCCACCTACAGCCATTTCTCAACTCATTTATATGTTTTTTGCGTATTGAAAACAATATTTATGAATTTTGATAAATCACCTATCAAATTTTATGCAAATACTTTTTCCTAATTCATTATTTGTCTTTCAATCTTATTTAATGGTATAGTATGCTAAATGGAATTCATTTTAAAGTTAATCAAATCCATCAATATTTATTTTGATGATTTCTTGATTTAAGAATTTTAAAAATATAACATAGGAGAAAGAATAATTCTCCAGTTTAGGACATACATTGCTTAAATATGTTCCCTTTAAAGCTGACTGTAATGTGATAACTTGGAAGCACTCTAAAGAACCATCAATGTAGTTACTTAATAATTTTTCATCTAATATATTGCCATTTAAATAATGATGATGACACAGATATGGCAAAAAATAGCACGGGCAAGATAGTGCAATGGTTAAGAGTGATCCTTGCAGCCAGATAGATAACTTACTTAAGTCCTCCAAATCTTGATTTCCCCATCTGTGAAATGGGGGTTACAAAGCTAGCTCACAGGGCTGCTGTGGTGCAATGGGGAAAATGCACATGAAGGATTTAACACAAGGTCTGATGCAAAATTCAATAGTATAAAGTATTTACACTTAAAATACTTCGAAAGATAAAAATGGAAAAGACAAAAGTATGGTAATCATTCGTTGTATTAAAATCACAGTTTAATTTTTTCTTTGTTTCCAAAATTGTAGTATATAACTTCAAAGAAAATGTAAAATAAGTAAATATGCTTATGTGTTTTATTTCCAGAGGAAGATACACCGAAGACACTGAGGTTACCTTCAAAAGAGCAGATGGATTAATTCAGAGAAGGGAGAATAATGATTGTGGTGATGGAGGAGTGAGTTATGAGAAATGATTAAAGATGAAGATTATGTCTGGAGTTGCTAAGTAATGGCTGAGGGGGGACTAATAATTGACTGCAAAAATCTGACAGGAGAAATACTGAACAGGCAGGAAGAATTATTTAATCAGGTTCAGGGCAGAATAACTACAAGAGTATAAAGAAGGAAAGAAAAATTTACCCCAAATGAAAAGAAAACTTTCTGACAGTAAAAATTATTATACAAGAAAAATCTTCCAAGAAAAGGGATGAAAACCCATCCCTAAGGATATTTAAAATAAGGTTGGATAGAAATCAAGAAAATATGTAACAGTGAACCATAGTGCTTTGGTTTAGTTCTAGTTTCCATCTCTGATTTTACAGCAGCCTTGAAAAAAGATAGGTCACTTAGTCATGGTGGATGATTAAACTGTGGTTCAGGTGACCACGTTTTTAGGGTTTTGTTGTGTCCTCCTTCCATGCTAGGCACAAAACTAACTCAAACTGATATTTATGCCTCTAACATGTTCTATGTCCTACTATGCCATGATTGCCACATATATGATGCTGGTGAGGTTGGGTTGGGCTGTCAGCAAACTTTTGTTGCTACTCTAAAATCTGGATGCTAAATACTAGTACCTAAATCAGAAAATAATGCAGCTCAAAAGCACTTGATCTAGCCCCTTGCTTTTAAAGTAATATTTCACTCTAATATGCCATATACCAAACTCTGTAGTAAGTGATTTGCCAGTGTAATCTCATTAGATCTTATAAAGACCTTGGAGGGAAGCTTGTTATCAGCACTTTTAAAATTGACAACGGAGGCTCCAAGAGATTAGTACAAGGCAAGTAAGAGCTGAAATGAGGATTCCAACCCAGGTGGAGGTATTTCTGAAGCCTATTCTTTTTCCATCCACATCCTGCTGTCTCGATAGACAAGAAGGGGAAAACTCAAAAACATTAGACAGCCCCATTGTAGAAAATTTGAACTCAGCCTAATTTCACAGCCCAGACCACAATTGGAGATCCTTGTTCTTGGTCTCTTCCTTAGTCAAACCCAGTTCTCATCCCCATTCTCTTGGTTCCCTGTTCCACTATTTTACTCTCTCTTCCTTTTGATAAAAAGCAGCTGAAGAAAGAAAACTATTTTTTGATATTATAAACTGAGGATAGAAGAAAAAAATATGTACATGTAAATTTAGCCTTTTGATCCTTTTAAGTTGTTTTATTCAATGACAAAATAATGTCTTATTGTTTAACTTCAATATTCTATTTTTTAAAAATCTTCTGAATCCATAGTCCTTTCTTCTTTTCTTTTTTTTTTTTTTTAATGATGATGGTGGTGGATTGAACTCAAGGCCTTTACACTGACACACTGAGTGACATCCTCATTCCTTTTTATCTTTTATTTCAAGACGAGAGCTCACTAAATCACTCAGGTAGGGCTAGAACTTGCAATCTTCCTGTCTCACCCACCAAGAGTGCTGAAATTACAAGCATCCACCAGCATGTCTGGATACCACAGTTCTTTTATAATTAAACAAGGCTCAATGTACATGTAACTCAGATGGTATTGTGCAGCCTAATAATCTAAAATAATTTGAACAGTTAAAATGGGAACAACAATGTGTATATAAGAGGCTTCAATTTTGCCTTTCTTTGTTTTTACTTCATTATTGTTTGCAAGACAAAAACAAAATTTGTGGCATACAGTATAAGCTGTGAATTTACTATGCAATCATCTACTTTTGCTTCAGTTTTTTCTCTTATAAGGCCACATTCTTTCACATGCATATTCCTCAATCTAATATAATATAGTTAAAGAGAAAGATTCTGAAATTAATGCAAAAAATAAATTTGAGCAACCAACGGCTAACCAAATAGGAATGTCTAACACCTTCAAAGGATCACACAACCCTTAACACAAAAATGTCAACCAAATATTATTCATACCTTTATGAATATAATAATTTGTTTAAATTTCTGTATAACCTTTGATTTAGTTCTAGTTTCCATCTCTGATTTTATAGCAGCCTTGAAAAAAAATAGGTCCCTTAGCTAAAGAAGAAGCCAACATTGTAGCTATCTTTAAAAAAAAAAATCCACAATTAAAAATTACTTAGTTAATCTTGGAGACACTGCCCTTATAGTAACTACAAGCCATCTTCTCCTGGCTGTTCCTTTGTGAATTTCTATAGCAGGTGGGGTATCTTTATATCCTCTTAACTGTCACACTCTCTGTGGATGGACAGATGATGATGATGATGATGATGATGAAAATAGAACAAATGCAAAATACATATGCAGAATTTTAAAGAAAAAGCTCTGCTGACAAAATTTAAAAATTATCCAAAGAAACTTTCTCTAAGCAATTTGTTAATAGAGAACCAGAAAACATACAAGAAATCAATGATATATGGTTACATAACTTCCATAGATCAGGCAGTAAATAGTCCATGCCACAGGCTAGAACGTAATTATCTGAATTTAGGCCAAACTCTGATTACTAAATTTCAGGCTAGATGTACTCTCAGAACATCTATGTTCCAGAATAAGCCACCTTTACCATCTGGACCATGCTGCATCTCCCCATGTAATCTCTCTTCAAGAAGGGATCAGACCTATTGTCTTTCAGAAGCCTCATTCTTTGTAGCAACTGGAGTCTGAGGGCAAGAACTGCTGATGAAAGAGAAATGACCCATCCTGCCACACCTCCTGGTGGCAGCTTTGATGAACACATCTATTACAGAGCCTGCCATCCCAGAGAGCCAAAGGCCAAGACAAGAAATCGCACAGTGTCCCTGTGTGACAGTAGCATGCATGCTTCCACCAGCCCACACTGGACCCTGATGTAGCATAAGAACTAAATATTTCTAGGGATGCCACGCCTGCCTCCCAGAAAGACAACTTCAGGGAAGAAAGGGCAGACAACCAGAGTGCCCATAAAAAGTGGCTTTTATATCTACTTTTCCTGCATAGAGATTTACTTCTCAAATTTGCAAAGCTGCCACATAGTAGGTATTCAGCACTCAGAGGATATCTTCTCCAGAACGCATATAGTTTTTTGCTTCTAGGAGGCCACACTTTGCTGTGACATGAAATAAGTCTGCTTTACCTGCATGACCTGTGAAAAGAGAGTCCTGTACAAAAAGCTGGCCACATCTGTCACTCAAAATGTGAGCCCTTTTTCATGGTTTCTCTTATTTTGTGTACACAGATTAAGAACGAGATTTCTTTAGCTATGTGTATAAATCTCTGGGCCAGAACATGAGCGTTCAGATTGCATCTATAAGAGGAGTGAAGCATTTATGAGAATCCAGAACCCAATGATAAAATATTTCTCAACTGTCAAACAAATAATTTACAATGAGGAGGATGACTAAAACACAGGCACAGATTTGGATTTTAAATTAAGCAAATGTACAAAATCAGAAGGTTATACTTTCAAATAGGAAAATCAATTGGAAGTTGGAATTTTAAAGTCTCCTCACAGTCTTTTAATATAAGATACCAGGATCAGAAAACAGATATTGGGGTTAGGGGGCACGAGTTTGGGAAAGTCAACTTCCACTTTCAATCTCTAGGTTTTGGAGCTCAGGAGAAAGAACAACAGTGGAACTCTGCCAAGGAAGGAGGACAGAAATTGGAGGAGAGATTTCTTTCATTAAGATCCATCATCTTTGACCCAAAATCAGTGTCCTGACATAACAAAAGATAGTAGTATATTTTTTCTGCCACTGCAAGTAGCTTTTACTCACTTCCTTCTAGATTTATAAGCAGTTAGAAGTTTTGAAAATTTTTCATTTGGGGAGTGAAATGGAAACTTGTCTGAACTTGCTGATACCTGCAAATCCCATAAGATTTACTTAGACAAAATAATAGATCTGTATTTCATAGCCTTATGTCCAAGGCTTCATGTCCACAAAAACCCTTATGCAATAAACATGTGTAGAAATGGAAACAGGTATCAGTTTGTGATGTCAGCGGCCTGATGTAAAAATGCATAGTAATAACAACACTAGAGTTCATTTCCTCCCTCCCTGACTTTCTTGTTTTCTCCCTTCTTTATTTTCTCCTGCCTTCCTTCTCTTTTGTTTTTTCAACCACTTATTTATTCTGCAGACATTTATTGGACATCTAATACCCTTTACATAACTGCTGTTGGGCACACATTTGCATTTTGTTTTTGTATCCAAAGATCACCTAAAGTTGGGCAAACTTGAGCTATAGACATGAGGTCCCCTTTCTGCACTTGGGTGTCCTGGCACCTGCCAGCTGCACGTCTCCAGAATTGAGGACATCGTGTTTTCAATTTTCCTCAATAAACCAATGAATATGGCAATTTGCTGGCCTGCTTCAGCTAAACAGAAAGGACAATTTGAGAAAGATCATAGTTCAGGCCCAGTCAGACGGAAACAATTGAAAACAGAGAGCTGGCCGCCGTGTTTCCCCAATGCAGTTCCCTGTCGCAGTTTGACTGACAAACTGACTTTTTTGAGGTGCTCATGCCCATTTCAGTCAGAGTTTATTGAAGGTGATTTTGATCTTCTCCATGAGGCCACAGCAGTGGCCATGCCATCTGTCACCTTGATTGCATCGAGGATTCTCTGGAGAGAGCGCCATGGCTCCTGATCACTTACAGATTGTGCTGCTCTCTCCTCCATAAGGACCACATGCGCAGAGCCAGATGGTGAACATACACGCTTATTATAAGTCTTTATCTCTGTGCAGGAAGGAGAGGAACCATTAGGTCTCCCTCAGGAGCTCTGCTCCTCTCTACCCTCATGCTGCTCTTCGGCAAATACAGTCTTCTTCAGCTGTCATCGGCCTACCTCAGAAAATTAAAAAAATAAACAATAATTCCATCAGCCGAGGCTCAGAAACCAAGGCGGTTCAGCAAAGCAGTCCCCTGGCCTTCCCTCTTTTTCTCTTTTCTAACCCCCGTCCCCGCCCTGCCTGCCTGAATGTCAGCACTAGGTAAAAACAAGTTTGTTTGCAAATGTACCATTAATGTGTTGATTTTTTAAGAGATCAGAAGAGCCTCACTGCTTAGAAATA